TGTAAAAAAAAGGAGACCCAAACGAGATTTTTTTTAAAAAAAAAAAAAAAAAAAAAAAAAAAAAAAAAAAAAAAACAATTCTCTTCTCTGAGATTTGAGGAAGAGAATATTTCTTTCTTTATTCTCTATCCGTTGCTCCCCAATTTAGTACTCATAGACGTGCCTCCAACTAGACATTAAGGAGTTTGACATTAAAAGATTTTTCAAGCTCTTTGGAAGGAGAATTGTTCCAAATTTGGATACATTTATATATATTTTTGGTCGTTGACTATCTGGGGTGGTGTTAATTTTTCCTCTGGGGTATTGAGAAGGCCGGTCTTTTGGTGACATTGTGCTGAGCATCAAAGTTCCAAGCATCGATGGGGCTTCTTTTTCGAAGTCTCGCGATGCTTTGTATTCTGGTATGGTTTTCATGGCTTCCGGATCTCACTGCTCAATCCACTTCCGGGACTTCAAGGAGCTCTGCTCACGCACTTGATTCGCTTCTACAAGATTACGCTTACCAGGCTCTTGTACGTCCAAGAACTGGATTTATCTATGATGGGCATGTTCCTTCCAATCTGACAGGAATTAAGGTCTCGGCTCTGAGGCTTAGAAGTGGTAGCTTGTACAGGAAAGGTGTGAAGTACAGAGAGTTTAATCTTTCGGTTGGTGTCCGCGTGACTCCATACGTGAAAAGGCTCGTTTTGGTGTATCAAAACTTGGGCAATTGGTCAATGGTGTATTACACTTTAGATGGCTACACTTTCTTAGCTCCGGTACTGGGCCTTCTTGCTTATGATGCTTCAAACTTGTCAGCAAAAAATCTACCAGAATTGGATATTAGAGCCTCCCGTGATCCCTTATTGATAGAATTCCCCAATGTCTCAGCCCCTGCCGGGGCTGTGCCGAAGTGTGTTTGGATTAACTCAAACGGTTCGCGGAGTTTCAACAATGTGACATCCGATAACAAGTGTTTAGTGTACCAGCAGGGGCATTTCTCCATAGTGGTGCAGTCGATTGCTCCCGCTCCCTCTCCAACGCCAGTGTCTCCTGGTCCTGCCCCAAGGGCCAAAGAAAAGGAGGGCAATTCGAAAAAAGTGTGGATAATTGTTGGGTCCGTGGTGGGCGGATTAGCGCTGTTGGGACTTGCGGCGTTGCTGGTAATTTGGGCACGAAAATTTCGGCAGAAGAAGAGGATGCAACAGATGGAGAGGGCTGCAGAGGTGGGAGAAGCACTGCATATGACCCCAATTGGGAGCACAAAGGCACCAGCTGCAACAGTCACAAGAACACAACCAGTTCTCGAGAGCGAATACGTGCCTTGACAAGCCACGAAACCCGCCATTTGTACAACCCCGCCTCCATTCATCATATATTCAATGTTCTTTTCCTGTAATCAGAGAGAGAATTCTTCTACTCACACCTGTTTTTGGTGGTGTTGCTCCTCTTTCCCCTTTCCCTTTCCATTTGTTCTTGGTTAGGCTCTTTTGTTTAGTAGCGTGGGTAATATAGGATTTTTGTGTAAATCTCTTTATGACTCACAAAACCCATCTTTATTTTCTCCCCCCATCCATAGTTCTATTTATTCTTTTATCGTGTGAATGTAGTAGCAGCCAGATAGTGATTCTCTTTGTGATGAATTCAGTTTCTTCCATTGACAAAGGAATAAAATTTCCCATGCGAACTTTATTATTTCTCTTGTTTTCTATTGATATGTCCACTTTTTGTATTTTGAAAAGTTCTTTGCAGGATTAGGGTTTGTGGGTATATTTCTTTAGTATTTTCCTTTTTGCATTTTGTGTAGATATTTCTTTGATGGGATTTTTGTTTTGTCGGCTTGTCGCCATGTATGTGTATTGGGGCCAAGGGCGCGATTAATTTTACACACGAAGCTTGTTCCAGAGTTCTTTCTCTTTGTTTTGTTAGTTCTTAGAAGTAGTTTTCTTGTTCCCATTATCAAGTATGAAAGCCTCAAGCTTTGCCTCCACTGTTTACGCGTAAATACAACTTGGCTTGGATGTTTTGTTTTCCGTAGGGAGGAAGGAAATAAAAAGAGGCAAAGGCATTAATAACGATAGATTGTTTTTGCTTGAAGCTTTTTATTTCCTACTTGCGGTGGGGTGGTGTGTGTTTTTGGACTGTTAGATTGAATCGAATAACGGTAAAGTTAGGAAAAAAATACAAAACTAATAGATGTTGATAAATATTTGTTTGATGTCAGTGTCCTATATATGTATACTCTGTTAAAGAATTCTCAGTTTTTTTTTTTCTTTTTTTTTGTAACAAGTATGTCTAGTTAGGGTTGATTTACAGTGTCAGGATCTGATTCATGACAGGAATGTTGATTTCCAAGTATATCGTTTCATTTTGCAGTTTTGACGTTCAAAATTTACAGGTATATTATTTTTCTAACATAACTGTGTCGATATCACGAAATCATAATTTGTTGAAAAAATAGTGTGAAAATGGATACTTAATAGTTATCCTACGTTGATAATAAAATAACTGCTTATTAAGAACACTGTTGTTAAAAGGGCTATAATTGGAGTGATCGTGAATTCGTGATTAAACTCGTCATCTTTGTCACAAAAAGCTAAAGTGTATTCTATGTCTACATGCTATCACGATCATTCAAGAATAATGTGTACCAACCACGACGGGGCACGGGCTTTTAATTTTTTAATTTTATTTTTGTTTGTTTGCTTCAATGTACCAACTAAGGTTTAGTGACGCTAATGTGCCTTACGCGCCTAGGCAAATTTGGTGGGGACATTATGACAAAAATTCTATTATTAGTTTTTTCTTTTAATAGCTAACTCTATTAATTTTTTGTTTTTGGTATTCTACACATTTGCACTCTGAATTTGTGTGGTTTTACCTATTTATCCTCTAAATTTTTAATTTTGATAAATTACTCCATAAACTTGTACAATTGTTGCAATATGTCTCATTTTGATGATGATTGTCTTAAATTAGTGACGAAAAAACATGTTCGACAAAAAATTCTGACATCCCAATTCAAATGTAACACAAATATTTTAATTTCTCAACTTTTAATCTCTTAAATTTAACAAAAAAATTTGAGCAAATTTAGTAAAATGAGCATATTGCAACAATTTTATAAGTTCAAAGAGGTTGATTGTCAAATTAAAGATTTAGAGGGTGATTTGTTAAACCATGATAAGTTCGGGAACAATTGTGCTTAAAACCCAAAAAAAAAAAAAAAAAAAAAATCTTGACTTTCTAGGAATTTCTTGGCAAGGAACCTCGTACCTTAACTAAGAGATAACCATTTGAAGCTCATCACAATCAAACAAAATGTGAACTTACTCCTAAACAAACTTACCCAAGAGCCAAGACCAATCAATGTGAAACTCACGTCTCATTTACAACGACAATTTTCAGCTCAAAACTATGTCATGAATGATCACAAGTGCCTAAGAATTTTCTATTGGTACATACATTGTGTATATATAGGTAACCTATTAAACGCAAAAACTTGTGAGGGTGAATCTTTGCCTATTCCAATGAGTCATCAGTCCAAAACTCCAATATATACATATACATATATACACACACATACAAACTATAAAGTGACAAATCGATCATCAAATGCTAAAAACCCATGGGCGGAGAGAAGAGTCAATCAATCCTTCTCTTTGCCTCTCTCCTAACTGAATAATATCAGCGACTAGTTCGGTTTCAATTAATTAATGCTTTCTGCCTACACATGCATGAGAAAGAATCCAACTTTTTTCTGTTGTGACCTTTCTATTGCTTTTTAGTCCCACCTTTTATTTATTAGGATATTTTCATCATTGCCCCCTAAACTTCTCACTTATTGTTAATGTGCTTACTGAACCCTTTCTTTTTGCAACTAGCCCATTGACTTTAGAAATATGCGACAAAGACACCTCAATTGACAACGTGTTACTTTTTTTACGCAAATTGACGAAGTGATGTGCTCATAGATTATTAAGTAAGGGCATAAGTGGTTATGTTATTTATTTTTAATTCAATTTGATTTTTTTTTAAAAGTGACTCTTTTATTTTATAGGTTCGAACTATTGTTCAAACTTATTTACTATAGTATTTTTTCTCATAAATTTTAAATATTTATTTAAAATTTTCTATTCAAATCTATGAACTAAACAGGTCAAAAGTTAATTTACAATTTTTTGTTATGATTAGAGTTAATTTAAAACTAATTCTAATGAATTTGGTTTAAATTAGATAAAAATTACCACTCATATCATTAAGGAAGTGCGTCACATGTCAATTTCTATCAAAAATTAACATCGCTAAATTGGTGTATTTTTGCCACATATTTCTAAGTACAAGGACTGCAACTTCTTAAAAAGAAAAAAAGGGTTTCGGAACACATTACCAATGAACGAGAAGTTCATGGAGGGCAACAGAGTAAATAAGCCTATTAATTATCTTGTTGGAGAATTATTTAGTGGGATAAGTAAAAAAAATCTTACTATGACACAAATTTTCATAACTTAAATCACATGTTTAATTTCAGTGTCGTTAATAGTGTCTAATCAACTATATTATACCACATCATTTAAAATATATAAAATTTTTTTTTTTAATGTTAATATTTCTCAAAAAATAACTTGACATCGTTACGCTAAATATTAATCAAATGACCTGATTCTGAATTTGAGAACCACAAGCCACAAGATCACATGAGATATCTTGTCAAATCAAGAAAAATATTATAAATTAAAAGACCATTAAATTCGATTTTTAAAAACCGTGTACTACTAATGAGATATTATTTCATACTCTACCATAAAATTCTCCTCATTATATTTTTGCTTTAGTTAAACTAAAAGTGTTATGGTTGTCTCGACCACCACCTAACACATTTATATATGGAGTATATAAATAAATTTGCAATTTAACATCCATTGTGTGGACCTAGCACGCCAAAAGCAAAGGTCTAGAAAATGAGTTGTATTATTTTCTCTCGGAATGTAGTTTTTGTGCCTACTTGAATGTCACTTTTTTTTTTAAAGGAGAATTCTTCGGTTTCTTTAAATGGATCAAAATTGGTATATACAATAATTGGTCAAGGAGAGCATTGAGTGTCTAATAATGGCTAGGACAGCGCACATAATGAGGAAAAAAAAAATTAAACAGTGGGTGCCAGGAAGGGTTTGGGCACTATGATAAGTAGGGGTGTAAATCGGCCGGGTAGGGTAGGGTTGAGCCGAAAAATTGAGCCTACCCGACCAGTACGGGTTGAGAAAATTTTAGCCCGCGACACTCTCTTAAATCTACAAACCCGCAACCTTTCGGGTGACCTCGGGTAGGGTCGGGTTACTCGGGTTTGTGAAAACCAATTTTAATCTATGACTTCATCATAGAATGAAAGTAGATAACTAATCTATGCAAAACTAATTTTAATCTATGCAAAACCATAAACGGCCACAAAATGAAAGCAGATAACTAATATAAAAATAATTAGAATATTTCAATTAGATTGATACCCTTCTAACATGCAAAATAGTCCATATAAAATAAACAGTTTAATCCAGAATAAATAATCCATATAAAGATAAACAGTCCATATAAAAATAGTCGCAAAATAGGATATGAAATAAAAGTTAGTCCACTCCAAACTGTTTAATCCAGAATAATAGCATCTTCATTCCCAATTTGCCTCTCATGTGTTGCAACAGAATTTGGCAAATCTTGAGAAGAAAACATAACAAAAAAAAATCATCAGAATCAAGTTTAGAACAACAAAATAAATAACAAGGAGATGAAATAAAATTTAAAAAAATAAGTAAAACGTAAAAAGATGACCTGACTCAATATCTTCATATTCATTAAATTCTTCCAAGTCAATAAGATTGATGTGCTCACGACTACGCAGCCAATTTTGTGTACAAATCAATGCCTCCACCATCTTGGGGCTCAATGAACTCCTAAAGAGATCGAGGATGCGGCATCCGGTACTAAAAGCAGATTCTGAGGCTACCGTTGAAACAGGAATGGCAAGAATGTCTCTTGCAACTAGTGAGAGAACCTTGTAATTAGTTGCATTATTCTTCCACCATTCTAAAACATCAAAATTAGACCGAGTTGGATCCTCCATAGGGTCTGTCAAGTAACTGTCCACATCATTTTTGTACTCATTCACATTCTTCTCCATTTTCTTAACAAAGGAGCTCCACAAACACCTTTTTCCTTCTGGAGTCATTTTTGCCTCTGTTGTACTTGTTGTTGCCGCCTCCCCACTACTTGCATTAGCCACAAATTCACCTTTGTCCCCACTATAAACCTCATGCAGCCGGTACATAGTATCCTTCACATTCTTTGCTAATGTTTCAGAAGTGGAAGAATCATACACTATAGAGAAACAATATGTCAAATAATCCATTTTGTACCTAGGATCAAGTACAACAGCCACAAAGAGAATACAATTTATATTCTCAACACT